TGAGCATCTTCGATGTGACAACACTCACTGAGACTCATCTGCTTTTCCATTTTGCTTGGTTTTGCTCTTTATTTACCAAACATTTGAGAACCACAGGAAAAGACTCCATCTTTAAAACAATGGTTTGAAAAGAGAGAAAAGGCAATGTCAGGCAGCTGGATGGATGAGGGAGGTCATGACCTCCTGGCGCCCTGCTCTTTCTGGCCCAGGCGCACTCCCATGCTGACCTTTTCACTCAGCACCTCCGGAGCCCATGGAGGCGGGCCCCTGCTGCCAGGGGCCTGCTGGGAGGCAGGAAGGCGGGGTGCAGACTGGAAAGGGGACCTGGTCTTTTCAACCTGTGGGCCAGTACTCAGAGGAGGAGGCCAGCCTCGGGTAACCGGGGTGCAGATGAGGAAGGACCTCTTGACTAGGCTCGAATATTTTTTTTATCCTATTTCTTGTCAGTCAGCTGGGAGGGACCTTGAGAACTGTGAGGGGAGTACTCTCCCTTAGTAGAGACATATTTCAGATCCTATCTTAGCCACGTCCTGCAGCTTTATCCGGCTGTAGAAGTGGCATGTGGTGTGTTTGACCTGCTTAAGTGCTTGTGTGTGTGTATGCACGCGTGTGTTGGAAGGCCTTGGATGAGGGCTACTCTAGCTCCACTCCAGACGAAGGCCTTGCACACAGCAACCTCCTGATACAAGATGCTTTGTTTCCTTAATACGTAAGGAATAAAACCAAACTTGTGGAGCCAGACGAGGGTAAGGAGCACAGCTTCATTACAGCCATCCCAGGAGGATCATTAAGCTATTCAGCTTGATCTCCATTTCACCTTTATTGTTGCTGAGAGTGTGGGTCCCTGCAGTGTGCAAAACCATGGAAACCACTGTTCGCGCTCCGCTGAGTGGAGGGGCTTCAGTAAGTGGAGACGGGTGGGAGGGGAGCTGGGAAAGGGTTAGGCACGGACACAGGAGCCCTACTTGTTCCTCTGAGGAGTAACTGGACCCCTGCCCTGGAGATGCCCAAGCCCTGCAGAGAAAGCAATTGCAGGGGCATGAGTCATCCCCTATTTTAGGAGAACACAGGGGTGCCCTAGGGATGGGGGGGCCTCCCTTATCAAGAAGCAGGCAACTGAAGCACGCAGATCGTGCGTGGCTGAAGGCTAGGATCACCTTCTGGTTTATTATCTATTTAACCAAGTGAATTAAACGAGAATTGACTGGAATTGTACACTTAAGAGTTCCCTTACAAAACACTGTTATCTCATAAGCTGGTTTAATGGAGCAGGCTGTCAGAGGCTTATTAGAAGTAACTGAATACAGCGCCTTCCAGGGACCCAAAGGAGAGTGTGTGGCCAAGCCCCAGAGGCCTCACTCCCTGTGTGGCCACAGAAGACGGGCCTGGGGTCTGGCTGCAAACCGCACTGTTAGTGGCGCTGCCAGGTCTTCCCAAGGTGACGGCGGCACCCCATTTTAAAGGCATGTCTTCAATATATAGAGTGAATTGGTGTTTTGTTGATTTTATGTGGTCTTAGCACATGTGAAAGAGAGCAGTTGGTTAACAGAACCAACTCAAGTTAGGCTGCGAGGGTTTGAATCTTAGCTTTTCTACTTACTAGTGGAGTGACTTTTGTTATTGAACTTCTCTGTGGCTCAGTTCCCCCGTCTACAAAATGGGAATGGTAACAGCGCCTACCTTACAGGGTGGCTGTGGAGATTCAATGCGCTAATATGTGGAAATGTCTTCCCGTACTGCCTAACCTAAGTGAGCGTTCGGTGATTATAGCTATCACTGTTTTCACAGAAAAGAATTCATTGCATTTCACAGCTTTTCCGCCCACCTCTTCTCTGAGCTATTAGTGGCAGCATGAGGTTGGAGTGAGCTGCATTCACAGAGGAGATTCTGAATGAGGGAAAGCAGGGTATAGGGAGGAGCTCACGTCTGTGACCCAAGGGACATTTTGAACCCTGACCTTGCTAAGGATAGTGATATGATCTTGCACAAGCGATTTGTCCTCTCCAATCTGCATCTCGAAAGTAAGTCTGAGTGTCACTTTCATTGTGGGGTTTGGTAAATGAATCTAAATCCTGCTTTGCGTGAAGACTGAGATAATAATGAAAATGCTGAGAGACTGATAAAAATGGCTTGGTGTCCCAGAAACATGTACACGGCCAAGCTCTTGCTTTAAGGATGCCAGACATGCTGCAAAGGGTTGACAGTCTGGGCGGAAGTTGCCCTGGTGCAGTTGGTCTTCGGCTATCTTTCAGGAACATTTTACTTTATTGGCAAATTTAGGAGTTTTTATTTTTCTTCCAACAGTTTCTTTGTTAGTCTTATTTTTTCCCTTCGGTTCATTTGAGCTCCTTTACTGGTGACCTGGGAACAGTTCTGTCAAACAGCCTGCACCGCAGGTGACCTAACCCTTGGCAGTTACATAGCCTTTGCTTAATTCCAGTGTATAATCCACAATTTCCATGTGCAATCTATAATTTTCAGAAATTTATAATCCAGCAAATGATTCTGTTCCCCTAATGGTTTAACATCGTATTTACCTCAAAAAATTCGAAATAGATGATATGAAAAGCTGAATTGATATTTCTGTTCTCTGGAAAACTAATTACTTTAAACATTAAATACAGCCTGTTGGCGGAATTGTGTTTCAGAGGAATTGAAACACAATTCATGGTGCTAGAACTAGTAATGCTCTCATACCCTTTTTTATCTGGAAGAGCAGCGCACTTAGGCGTGACCGATGTAACTTCCCTTGTGTTAAGTGCTTTAGCCTGAGAGTCTAAGGAGAGAAGCCACAGGACAGAACGAGCAGCCATCACCCACATTTCCTCCGGTTGACTGTTGACGGAAACACACGCTGATGACTCTCAACTAGAGCTGCAACACCAAGGGCAAGCACCGCGGGGCATCCACAGGTGCCCTGTGCTTCTGGATCTCATTTGTCTTGGTTGTGAACTCTTTAAGAGCCAGACGGAAGTTTTGGACATGCTCCTGAAAAATGACGCTTTTTTTTTTCTTTTCACGTGGTTTGGCCTAGAATTCTGGGGAGTTCACATAAACTTCCTGAATTCCCTCCACTGACACTGCTGCCCCACCCCACTGTCACTCACCGAATGCAGGAGGCTTCCTCTCCCTGAGCTGGACCAGGGTCTGATTGTCTCTAATGGTGATGAGCTGGACATTTCTGGAAACCAGGAGAAAACGACTAGTCAGAGACTTTATGATACAGTAAAGAATACATCTCCTGCTCTTTGTCCCAGCTCCGACCACACAGCTCTTAAAGCCTTCGGAGTGTCTGGAGTGATGAGAGTGTCCTGTGTGCTGATGGGATCACTGATGGTCAGGGCCCCTAGAGAGCTTCAGGATGGGGGCCGCCTGGTCCAAACCGAGACATATTCAGAAAGTTGGAGCTTCCAGTCCCACCCCAACCTCCAGGGAGAGGTGAGCTAATCACCAATGGCCAACGGTTTGGTCAATCACGCCCATGTAGTGAAACCCCCATAATAACCTCTAAACAATAGGGTTCAGAGAGCTTCTGGGTTGACGAGCGCACGGAGGTTCTGGGGAGGCCGAGCAGCTGAAGAAGGCACGGACCTACACTCCCCGCCCCACACCTTGCCCCTTGCGTCTCTTTCCTTTGGCTGTTCCTGAGTTGTAACCTTTGTAATAAACCCACGACAGTAACAGAAGTGCTCTCCTGAGTCCTGTGAGCTGGTTAGCAGGTTCTCAAATCTGAGAATCATGATCCAATGGCCACGGGAGCTCCGGTGTCCTGAGATGAGGCTTTGGGTGCAGGTACTGCATTTGGAAAGATATCCCAGGAAGCAGTCAGGAAGTAGGGAAGTGAGACAGGGAAGGAAGGAAAGAGGCCAAACAGGGGCCTTAGTGAGTGAGTTAACGTCGTGGGCACCTGAGGCTCAGTCCTGCCCTGGCCCCTCGGAAAAGCTGTGGGGACCAAAATTCAGAATCGTTCTCCCGAGGGACGAGGACGCCAGGTTGTTCACGTGACCCTGCCTCCCCAGCCGGCTCCACTGAGAAGCCGGGCCAGCTCCTACACCTGGAGAAAGCCCTCGGGCAGAGAAAGGGACACAAAGAGCCAGAGAAACTGAGAGGCGCGCACACACACAGCAGGTACTTGAGGTGCCAGAGGGCCCAGGGAACCGTCCGCCACACCTGTGGGTGACGCCCAGAGTGAGCAGATGCGTGGATGGTGCCTGCCGACAGGTGTGGCACTTAATGCCCATCCTTAAAATTCGGAAAATAACAGCTCCTCTCTCGTGAGTGACGTTAGGACTGATGAGTTAATGCAGTATTGTAGAGTCAAAAATACCCATTGTGAATCTTTCTCTCTCTTTTTTTTTTTTTTACTTCTGACTTACCCGCATCATCTCTCTTCTGAATGAGCTTCTAACAAGGTAGAGAATAAATTCATCTATTATAAATTTCTAAAAGGAAGAATCGTTGCTGAGAACGGTCTTCTTATTTAGCCCCCTTTGCATTGTATCAGCTTTGAATGGCTGCCTTTTGAAATGCGCAGTGTGTTTTGTTAGCATGTTAGAAAGTTGCCCGTCCCTGCAAGTTCTGTTGTGAGAGAGCTCTGTAGTCTTTCTCAGTCTTGCTGTTTTATTTCTTTGGAAACTGGCGGTGGAATTCAAGTGAGGGAGGTGCGTCACAGCACTCTCCAGCATTTTCCTGCGCCTCCTCGTGTTCTCTCATCTGACGACAGTGGGTCCTGGGGAGCTTTCTCTCTGGGAAGCTTCTGCAGTCCGGGGATCGAAGCCGGTGGCTGCGGTCCCAGGCAATTCTGAGTTCTGTTCTGTCAAAGGCATTTATACTCAATGTTTCACTGCTCATGGCTGATTGAAACAGCCCACTTAGTGAACTGCCAGGGGGAAACAGGGTTAAAAAAAAAACCGACTGTGTTCCATCAAGCTCAGGCTGTCATGATTAAAACTTCATTTAAAGATTTGCTCACCCAAGAAAATGTCTCTGCATTGTCTCAGGCTGTGACTCGTCAGCGAACCTGACACTTCACCTCGCCAAAGTCGCCATGGATGAACTCTTCGTTTTGCTTCGGGATGTTGCTGGCACTCGGAATCTCCTGAAACAGTTTAAGTCTGTATATGTTCCTGCAAATCATACCCACCAGGCAAGTACATGTGTTTTAAAAATAACCACTTCATCTGTGTTGCATTTTTAGGATTCAGAGACTACAAAAAATTTTCCATTTGAACCTCTCTAAAATGAGGGCTTTGTCCTACATGAACTCCAAGTCCCTTTCCAGTTCAGAGTTCCGGGTTCCCTGACTCTAAAAGCCTGTCGATGCCTTTTTACAGCAGGTGGCTGTGTCAGGTGAGCACCGGCGTGGCACCGCTGCCCTTTAACTGTGGCCCCATCTCAGACTTAGTCCCTAGCCTGAGGAAAGCCCCTCACTTCCTTGCCCCCAGTTACTACAGGTGTCCCATGAGAGGTGGCCTTAGGCGATTCCCAAGTTTCTGGATCTAAGCAGTCCCTAAACAGTTTGAGCAATTAGAATAATAAAATCTCCTCATAGTACTGTGGCAATGCAAAAAAATTGTGATAGCAAAAGCATTTGTTATTCAAAATTCCCCCACTGCTCTCTAAGAGGGAGCAGGTATTTGAGTAGTGAGTAGGAAGATGGTGTAAGAATCCCTGAATAAAGGAATAATTGCTCTGTGAAAACTCAGCAGGGAGGAACCATAGAAAGACCCAAAGGGAAGCTTAAGGAGGGAGGGAAGCTTAAGGAGGGAGGGAAGACTGGAGCCACCGGCTGGGCCGTCTCTGTTGGAGGTGGAAGGAAGTGGAACTCAGGTTCCTGGTGGCCAGAATGAGCTGTCAAGGAAGAGCAGATGTTTCCACGGAAGAGATCAAGTTTTGCTGTGGGGTGTGTGAAGGGACCTTCTCCTCCACCTCCCCGTGAAACCTTCAGTAAAATCCACGGTGACGCAGTGAGGGGTTCAGCTTCAGGACGCTGCCGTTTTAAGGCAGGCATGTGCGCCAGAGCGGAGGCTGCCCACCACGGCCTGGCAAAGCCCAGGTTTGCCCTCCCGTGCAGCCGTGGAGGAGCCGGTATTTGAAGAGCACTCCTGCGTTCAGTTTCCCTTTGGCTCTCATGACAAATAAGCCCGAGAGGTGTCATTATCCCAAGATCTAGGAAGGCCCAGTGACCTGCCACAGGCAAGCAGATGACAAGGGCCAGGTGCCAGGTCTTTGCAGCAAGTGCAAAGTCCCCTCCCCTGCAGCACGACAGTCCTCCTGGAGGCTGCAGAGGCACTGATCGATGGTGCCGGCGGGCATCCGAAACCACCAACCGGGACATAAAGGACCTCGGAAACCAGCGCTCGACTTAGAAACACGAATTCCCATCCTTTCTGCAGTGACCAAAAACACCTCTACCACCAAATACAGATAAAGTCACTCTGATAATTAATTATATGTAGTTTTGCCATTAAAAATAGCAATCTTACATAGTATAGTATGGACTAGTTCTATAAGACATGACAGAAGTGGTCATATATGATGAAATTTATACCAGAGAATGTTAAGAAGTTGCTGCTTAGTTGGCAAAGGGAAAATAAACCACTAAATTAATGAGGTCTTTTCATTGATATGATCATCATGGTGATTTGTTTGTCCGACTTCACGTAAATATGTGTTAGCTATAAACCTCGGGCACGATGAGGGCGATGATGAGTTTCCTAGACGTTGTCTGCCTGCTGCCCACGTTCTGACTCCTCCAGACCTCAGATCCCAGCCCTGCAGCCGTGGCCTTTGGAGAATGAGCGTCCCCCTTGCTGCGCCTACCCTAAGTGCCCGTGAGCCGGACATGGGGACAAGGGGGAGGGGAGCAGTGTGTGTGCATTTCAAGGGGATTAAATGAATAATTACTTAGACACATAGTGAAATGCTGTGCAACCATTAAAGTGAATGGGATAGCTCTGAATGTTCTGAGCAGGCGCTGTGCTTGAACCCACGTCTCAGGCTTTGCTTCTTGGGGAATTCCGACTACAGCAGAGGTGCATGATCCAGTAGGTGGAAAGCGTGTGTGATGCTATAAAGCATTATTCTATTTTGGTTAAAAAATAATGATAAAAGTATATCAGTATGTCTATTTAATTAGTCTTAAAGGTTTTGGAAAAAATTTGTAATCGTCACCTTGTGGAGGGTGGGGAGGGTCAGACGGACAGGAGGGCCTCTGGCTTCTGGCTCTGTATTCACACATGTGGAGAAAGGGATTTCACTGGAATTATGGGTAGATTTTACCTGTTCTGGTTTTTCAGTATTTTTTAAATTTAAAGAAGCTTTAAATCACAGATGTTAGCCCTGTAAGGACAGAGATTTTTGGTGTGGTTTGCTCACTGCCATGTCCTCGGTGACTAGACGGGTATCTAACATGTAGTAGGTACTTAATAAATATTTGTTGGGTGCATCTTGTATGCATTACATATATCTTTATTACATGTCGGAGGGTTTGATGGGACACTAAGTGTGTGTAATCAGAAAAGGACACATGTCCAAACCCAAATCAGAGTCCAGTTGTGTCTAGTTTCGAAGATGGGTCATGGCTGGGCAAATTTCTGTTTCTCCTCCCAATCCAGTCTTCAGTTCTGTGGCTCCAGGAAAAATATGTGCTTTCTGCCAATTCCATGCTGTTTCTACACAGAAGCTAATTGAGCAGTTGGATCCCCAGAACACCTGGGAAAGTGCTAGACCTGGTCTCGCCCCAGGTTGCCGGCCTGGGTTGCTGTCCCGCATCACTGAGCAGTGCTGCGGACCTGGGCTCTCTCCCCTGGATCTCAGGGCGTGGACCCACCCCAGCCTCCCTCCCACCATGCCCCTCACCTGCTCCAATGCACACCTGCTGCCTCTCAGAGCCACTCACCTTTCCTTTGTTTGCCCTAGAGCCACCTCTTGTTTAAACTCTGTCCTTTAGCCCTTTAGGAAAATGCGTCCATCACAGCTCAGATGCAGAAAGCAGACAGCACTCTTATCATTTTAAGGAGACTGTAATTTCACACAAAGGGTTAAGTACATATAAAGTCTCTGGAAGCGCCAGAGCAACGTGATCTAGACTGGGCTTCTAGAAATGAATCCAGAGCATTGACACAGGCCCAGCCCTCCAGGGGAACTAGTACCTGTGCCACAGTCAGGAGAGTGGGCGATGGGGACCCAGAGGCTGCCCCAGAAGTTTTCAGCTGGAAGAACATACCACCAAAGCTGGAGATAGCATCTGAGTTTGCTCACCATGGTATCTGCAGAGCCCAGCTCAATGCTTGCCACCTTGTGGGTGGGTGGGTAGGTAGAGGGATGAGTGCTGGGTTGTGGATCTTATCCAGAATAGCATGTCTATGTTCTTAATTTTTAGTGAAAGGGAGGTTAGCACAGAGGTTAATAGAACAGTGTTTAGACCCCAAGCTTTTGGGTTCATAGCCCATCTCCGCCCCCTACTAGCTCTGTTGCCTAGACAAGTTACTTCACCTCTCTGTGCCTGGTTCCTGCTCTGTAAGAAGGAGCTAATAATGGTTGCTTTCTTATACAGTTGCTATAAGGATTAGGTGACTTAATGCATATAAAACTCTCATACAGGAGCCGACATTACAGCATTTGCTGTAAAGGACAAAATTGTAGTAAAGGACAGAACAGGCCTTCTCTTTATTGTCTTTTGTTGCATTTTGTCCTTTCTCTTGCAAAGGAGTTGGGCTACACAGAAGGGGTGTCATCCTCAAGCTGACTGTCCTGTTAGCAGCTGTGTATGGTAAGGGCTGGTTGCTGACACCAGTGTGTTTGAAAAGGTTGTGTTCATTTGTAGACTCTGATGACCAGGAGAAACCTAAGCCCCGGTTTTACTATTGCGGCAAGTCTTCTTATGCTTTCATTTCTTGTTGAAACTATTCCAGTTTCATGGAAGCTTTAACCTCCTTCCCAAACGCCACAGTGTTTGATGTGCTGCAGTCCCTCAGCAGTGGTGGCAGCAGCAGCAACAGATTAGGCAAATATCTCAGGGCCAGGAGCTTATGAGCCCTTGCAGGAAAAATCTTGTGTGGCTTTTGCGCGACTTGCTTTGGCAGAGGTCTCCAAGTGCTGTGCTGTGCTGGAGAAAACTTTCCACAGATGCCCACTGTCTCGTGTGCCTCCGGCATGTTAAACAAGAGCACTTAGAACCAGCAGTACCCAAGGAGGCTTGATTCATCTTGTGCCTGGTGAAATATGGCTTTCTGAACAGTCTGGAGGCCCGGTCTCTGTCAACAGTCCCAAGCCCTGGCCACCAGCTGTTCTTTTCCAAGTGCTTAACTCTGTTCTTCCTCCTGATTCCATCTACCTAACCCCAGACTGGCTAGCATTCATTTTGAAAGGATCAGCATGAGACAGGACTACGCTGTGGTCCCGGAAACTTGGCTCTGTCCTTTAGTCTGCTTCTAAATGCCTTTGTGAACTTATGCGAACTAGGTGATAGCTTTGGGCTTTGGTTTCCTCATATTGAAGTTGAAGGGACTACACTCAAAATTTTTAAAGTAGGCTTCCAGTCAAGATGGAGGTATAGGTAGACATGTCTCACCTCATTTCACAACCATAAGATGGAATACAACTAACTTAAAAATGAAAAACACCCAGAACTGCCAGGAAATCACCCAGAAAAACACCCAGAACTGGGTGTTTGACGGAAGTCTGACAACCAAGGATTTAAAGAAGCTATATTCATCCAGATGGGTAGGAAAAGCAGAAATGGAGAGCTGGGACAGAGGTGGCAGCTACCAGATCAGGCAGCCTCACATTCACATGTGGTGGGTAAAAATCAGGGGGACACCTTGTGAGCGAGCAAGCCCAGCCCCAGGCCAGACCACACAGCCCAGGGCTTCAGTGTGGGAAAAATAAAGCTGCATAACTTCTGGCTCTGAATCCAGTGGGGGTTGGGGCAGTGGAAGACACTGCCGGTACATATGCAAACCCACCCTGGGAACCACAACCAGGACAGCAGTGGAAGGGGTGCCAGTGACATACAGGAAGTGGGTGAAGTGACTGGAAACAGAGTGAAGGTCAGGCAAGTCCTCAGAAGTCAGCCAGCAGTGGCACTGTCCCCTCTTTAATCCTGTCCCCACAAATGGAGCCATGGTTGCCCTGCCCTGGTGA